ACCGGAATTGTATGGTATACTGAGTCCAACTAAACCAATCCTCGGCTTAAACTTAAGCAAGAGAAACACATTTAGAAGACACTTTTGCCAGGCTACAAAAGGCGTTTGTAGATATTTCTTTTACCTGCTAATTGGACAGAATAAAAAGACTGAAAACATACTTACGTCATTTCGGCCGACTTTTACATCATCTCCAAGCAAAACAAACGGAGCCCAGTACTTGAAATCTTTGTACTCTGACGACTCTCTCGTTTTCTTAATGGCGTGGTGAAGCGCCTCACTAGCACTCATTTTCCCATGGATCAGGCACTTGTAAAATATGTTCATAAAAGCTTTAGTTGCTTCATCGTCGACAGCCCACAAGGACATCAGAACNACGTAATGAACGTGCCCTTCGCTTTGTGACATGTGACAAATCAACCACGTAAGAGACACTACTTAAACAACTGAACCTGCTGTCTCCACATAATCAAACAAAAGTTAAAATCGCCACCGGTGTTTACAAAATTGTCCATGGGTATAAAGTCAGTGCCCCTATGACCAAATTTTAGATATCCATTTTTTTACAATTTTGTACACCATAGGTCTTCCCTAGATATCTTGCCAAATTTCAATCTATTACAAACATTAGAACTCACTTTTTTTTTACCTTTTTACCGAGAATATACGGCCGCCATTAATTTTCCTTGTTCCAAGTCTTTATTGGAGTAAATGATGTCGTTTATTCAAAAATTACGCTCGGCTTGAAATTATAATAACAATCAGCGTAGGAAATTGCGCGAATATAAGAGCCAAAGATTTTGTTTTTCTTTATGCGAATTGCTGCACTAATTGTTATTAAAATTTCAACCCGTGTCGCATTTTTGAGTAAACGACGTCATTTACTCCAATTCTCAAGTAAGCTTTGGAACAAGGAAAATTAATGGCGGCCGTAAATTCTCGAAAATAAACGTTGAAAAAAACGTGAGTTCTAGTGTTCGTAATAGATAGGAAAGACCTATTGTGTACGAAAATGTAAAAGAAAATGGATATCGAGAATTTGATCATAGAGGCACTATAAGAACTTGATTTCAAAGTTGGACTTTTTAAATCTCACATTTTAATTATAAAATTTTTCTTTACAACTTTAATAACATGATTGTAAATAATGACGTGACCATTTTTATTTTAATTGTAAATGTACTTTATTTAGATCTTTGTTGCTATTTTTAGTTCGTGGCATGTGTGTTAAGTGGCTATTTAGCTAAGTGCATTTGACCACGTTAAATAAAGGTTATCGTCGTGACGTAAACCCCTCAATCAGCTCAATGGCACGTTTAATTTCATCTGAATATAAATCCGGGCTGGTTTTCACAGAAAAGCCGTCAGTTGTTTACACTTCATATCAGGTTGGAGTGGCAGTTGAAGCATGCAGTCAGTAAAAGTTTGAAAGAGTTCGTGCACTAACACGAGAATGGAGAAACTTCTGCTACTGGTTTTTTGCTTTATTGTCGTCTGTGCCCATGCTAGGCCTAGAATGCCTGAGAAAGAAACCAAAAGCACAGCCGAGGAAGCGATTATGGAATTACCTGCCAAGTAAGTAGCGGGCTCACAGTTAACCTTACTTGTTAGAGTTCGATTAAAGTGATTAAAACATGTTGACGATTAGATAGTTGATCAGATAATCAACGAAAAGGTTTGTTCTAGAGCATGGAAATTTAAACTTATCCAAATAATTTTCTCGAATATCTTTACCGTACTGAACTGGAAAAACACTATTTTGAGGATTCAGAAGTCTCAGCCTTTACAATTGGCAAAAGCGCATTAAGCTAATGTAATTAAAAGTAGTACGTTAAGGAGCCTAGTCAGGGACATACGGCAAACCTACAACGATTCGTATTGTTTACTCAAGGGAATTCGAGCTACGTAACGTAATGACAAGTCAACTTTAGTTTTCGCACATTGATCATCTCATCAAAAAAGCGACTGAAAATTAAATGATCTTAAAGCCAAACTTTAGGTTGTCGCTGGCACCGCATTCCCCACGAAACGTTTCAGCAAGGACAACTCCACAAATGACAGCTCCTCGAATTTTTTTTAAATTAAATTCTAAAACCAGGCAAAAAAAGAGGAATCTAGAATTGCTGTGGTATTGTACTCGGTTACTGCATTCTCGAAACGTTACAACAACGTTACAATCATTTGTATTATCTACATCCAATAACCTCATTGCGAAAACACCCTGAAAGGAAGCGTGAGCTAAGCTTTGTACTGCTATGTAAACTCGATAGAAACAGAGAACTAGCACGCGCAGTTGACGTAATGATAACGCACGTTTAATTATGAAAATAAACAAGCAATTTTTCCTTCTTCTTCTGTTTTGCTTTGGAGACGTTCAGGCATCGTTGACTGCACGTCTTGAACCGTTGCTAAGGAAACATTTTTGTTATACAACATCGTCAAATTTAGACATGTCAGAGTTGACAGAGTTATTTCGTGGCTTTATCAGCAACGGCAGCGATGACGTCATCAGAACACGTCAATGATCACGAGACTCTAAACGCTCGTCACTTTATTATTTCATCCCTTCTTGTTTCTCGTCTTTGGCTCTTTTTCGGTCAGCTGACTCTTATTAGCAATGTGTTAAACGGGCCTGGAACTTGGTACGAGTATTAAAACACGACTAAACGAACTTCTAAAAGTTAGTAAGTTTACCAAATATCAGTATTTTTGGTTCAAACACAAAGACGAAATGTATTTTTGAAAGGTTGTGGTTGGCTTTATTTTTGATCGAAAAAAACCATATCGATTGTTTTATACATTGAACCTAGTCCCCTGCTTGTTTAGAACATGGCTAGTTTCGTGTTTTTGGTTTTCCTTTGAATTTTGTGAAATCTGATAAAGCGAGACAAAATCTAAAATATAGCCGATTTTCTTGCCGTCTGATTGTTTTAATTTCCCACGCTCACGCAATAGGGGCTTTTTCGATCGCGGAGGCTGACGCCAATGAGCGGAAGTTAAAATTCACTTCGTTGAGGCGTGTCACGTGATACGGTTTCGTCCATTTCAGTTAAAGGGAGAGGAATAGTAATTCCTTATAGTCTGAACTTTGCACATTGGTAGAGAGGCTGACCAAGTGCCATTTTATTTCCCTGTAGTATTGACACCGATAATCTGAACGTCGCTGGCAGAGACAACGCTAAACGGTGGCGTAAGTGGGGCAGCAATCACAATGGAAATCATGGAAACCATGGAAACCATGGTCAAAACCATCAACACAACAGCGGCTGGAAAAGGGCTCTCCCATAGGCAAGCAATTGTAACATTCGTTTATCTATTTCTTAAGATTAATTATTTAAGGACACAAAATAAATTTAGAACCAAGTCAGTTTCTGCAAACAAGTTCTACATGTCGTGAAGCATCTAGCGGTCTATAGAATAAGGTTGAGTAAGACTTTCACATATTGAGGCTTTTTATGGTTTTTATGGCATACAATTAAATGGGATTGTTTGGAATTTCGTTTATTTGTAGAACATTTTGTAATTTGGTTCTTTTCAAACTATTCGTCCTATGTATTAAATTGTTTCTCACGCATCTACTTTTGAAATGTTTTGTTACGCGAAGCGACTATAAAATGTTCACGGGCGATGATCTTCCTGGTACCGTTGGAACAATAGCATAAAAGCTATAGACCGTACCTTGTTTTAACACAAGAGTCCTTTTTGATAATAACGTTAAATGCGCGATCGGCCAAAATTTGAGGAAAAAGGTTAAGAACATACCCAGATTTACGTAAAAATACGACGTTCAAATAAAGTTATTACAAAACGTGCATGCCATTGGTACCGCCCACAGTTCTCTTTAATTTCCTGGACACGTCGGCAGTGATGTGAATTATTAAATCAAAAAATTCAGTCCAAAACCTTATACGCTCTTATCAGTGCAAGACTATAGCCAGGTACAAAAGTGATTTATAGCTAAGTAAAGAAGAGAAATGAATCACTCGATCTTAAACAACTTCATTAACCAGGAGTGTTACAAATAGGAATACAGCAGGCACGATAAAAGTTGATAGAATGCCAACAAGGTAATTAATGACTAAAAGGGTACAAAAACGCTGTTGTAGATTGCAGCAAACTGTAACAGCTACGTTCACAGAAGTAGCGAGAGAACATTTTAGGCAGATTGTCTATAGAAACTAATTGAAACTGGACGTGGAAATCATTCAAAATCTAAAGCAGACTAATCAACAAAATTCTTTATTTTCTATATGGTAAGCCGATCAGATCACTATTTCAGCGCAGCTTAGTACAGCAAGATTGAAACTAGTATATAGATGTTAGTCTATAGAAATCAAAGTTTACTCATACAGTTTTTATTACTAGCACAACTAGAATGAAGAGTTTTGTAAGTGTCACGAAGTACGGATAATCTTTTTTGTCTTTTTTTTTTAGGTCAGAAGAGAAGCTCTGAAGAGCATAGTACCACACTGACACCAAGCGAACTAATTAATAAATCACGAGTTCAGTCGATACATACTGAAATACTGCAGACAAATCAGTCATTTAGTTGCGGTACTTGAGGAGCTGTCGTAGTGTTTGTCTTTACAGATCATTTAATCTACATATATAAGGGTATAATAAAGCTATATCAATAAAGGTATGCCTGATCACGTGTTGTGCTTTCTACTCGAGATAAGTACTTTAATTTTAAGCAACAAATAAATTGACTGTAACAAAAAAAACCGACAAACACCTGTAGTACGTTACAAACCGTTGCAACACTGACAACAAGACAAGTTTCGAAAATGCTCTATTTGACATCAATTCCAAAGTTGAGCAACTAGCTAGTGTCGCCGGCTTTTTCGCCGACAACATGTAGCAATACCAGTTCTGAAATGCACAAGCATGCGAACAGTTACTAAGTACTCCTCTATTGGAATCTTTTGAATTCACCTGGTGTATTTATCTCTTCGTTTTTCAAAGTACACATACGCACATACCTACACTTGAAATCTGATCTACTGAAAACAATCAAAAAATGGACCGTTGAAAATCTTCTTTGATCGCAGTTCGTTGTTATAGCTTAACCTTTCCACGTTTCCAGTCCCTGCGTGTATGCGCTGTACAGCGCATCTTGAAGAGAATGATCGCAAATATATTTAAAACCCGAATACGCGGCACAACGACGAGGAGTCATTATCTCTTGCAATCTTTCACATTCAGAAAGACCAGAGGGTTTACTTTTAAAAAGTCCTCACCTCTTGACAAATGCAGTACTCCACTGGAGTTTGTTAGCACAAGGACCCAGTTCTAAACACTTCACTGACGTCTTGTGCTTATGTCTGTAGCAAAAAAGCAGTTCTGATTAAATACCGTAAAATTGTGATACTAAACCCTGAGCTTAGATCTATTCCAAAGGTTTCTTCGGCGAGCTTATTTCCACGAGGGCTTATTATCGTATTGAATATTGCCTTTTAAGAATAATGGCTTAATTTTTCTTAACTATGTTACGTATGGAGCTCATCTTCTCGGGGGATGGGGTGCTTATTACCGGAATTGTATGGTATACTGAGTCCAACTAAACCAATCCTCGGCTTAAACTTAAGCAAGAGAAACACATTTAGAAGACACTTTTGCCAGGCTACAAAAGGCGTTTGTAGATATTTCTTTTACCTGCTAATTGGACAGAATAAAAAGACTGAAAACATACTTACGTCATTTCGGCCGACTTTTACATCATCTCCAAGCAAAACAAACGGAGCCCAGTACTTGAAATCTTTGTACTCTGACGACTCTCTCGTTTTCTTAATGGCGTGGTGAAGCGCCTCACTAGCACTCATTTTCCCATGGATCAGGCACTTGTAAAATATGTTCATAAAAGCTTTAGTTGCTTCATCGTCGACAGCCCACAAGGACATCAGAACAGACCGAGCACCAGATCCTAAGAAGGCGCGGGCGATTCCAACAACTCCCTCAGCTTTTAAGATCTTCCCTCTTGCACTGTGACAACAGCTGAGTACCACCAACTTGGCTCTGATACCAACTTCAGCTATCTCTTTCACTGTCAGCACGACGTCGTCTTTCAAGGGAACTCCAGTGGCAGAGCTATTTGGAGCAAGAAGTATTTCTCCTCTCTCTGCATCACCATGAGCAGCTTACTCCAGTGACTTTTCCAACTGGCCGAGTGCGAAATACGCGCATCCAATGTTGCAGCAAGATACTCCTTTCCCATTTCGGTCGCCAACTACTTTACATATTCGCAGATCTTTCTCAAAATATTCAACCGCCTTTCCATAATGTCCTTGAGAAAAATAAGTATTAGCGAGGTTGTTGAAAGACACTCCTTGTCCAGTCAAGTCTCCAATTTCTGTAGAGATTTTGAGACTTTGCTCCACGTATTTTATCGATATTTCATCCTCGCCGTGCGCACGATAACCTGCACCAAGAATCGCATAGCACTCTGCTTGCCCTTTCTTGTCTCCAATGGCTGTCTTGATTGCAAGAGCTTTCATGCAATACTCGAATGACTTTTCATATTCACCAAGAGTACTATACAGGCTAGCTTGATTGAGGCAGGCAGCTCCTTCGTCATGTCGATGCCCAAGTGAGCGTATTGCTGCCAGAGCTTTCTCGTTATATGCCAGGGATTTAGCATACTCACCAAGTTGGACATATGCGTTGGAGAGATTCAGGTAAGATCTTCCTTCACCTTTTCTGAAACCAATTTCTTGTACGATTTTGAGTGCCTTTTCATAGTACTCTAGAGATTCGTGAAATTGGCCGAGTTGAAAGTAAATGCCACCGAGATTGTTATAGCAAGTTCCTTCTCCTTCTCGATCACCAGATTCCTTACTGATTTCTAGATCTTTCTCTTGATATTCAATCGCTTTCTTGTATCGTCCAAGATGCATGGATATAGTAGAGAGATTGTTACTGCTCATTCCTTGTGCCTTCCTGTTTCCAAATAGTTCACCGACCTCAAGCGCTTTTTCTGCGTAACTGAAGGCCTTTTCATACTGGTTTAAGTGAATATACACAAGACAAAGGTGGTTACACGATTGTGCTTCTGACACCTTCCCCTTCCTCATTGCGAGAGCTTTCCCGTGATAACTCACTGATTTTGCACACTGCCCGAGATTGAAGTACATTATGCCGATATGCTCATAACATTCACTTTCTCTTCGTTCATTTCCCCCTTCTTTGTTTATCTTAAGGCACTCCTTGCACATTTCTATGCCCTTCTCTATGTTGCCGCTATCAGAATATGCATCAGCGAGGGCCGAATACAACTGCCTTTCGATATCACGGGGCTCATTTGGCATGATATCCTCCAAGTGGTTTGCCACGATGAGCCTCAGAAGTACAAAACATTCCTTGTAGAAGTCGATCGCTTTAGCATAGAGGTGAGTGTTATGAAGGAAGTCGGCGACATTCCAGGCAGTGTACAAAACTTTGTCTGGTAACATGGCACAGGGCAATGTTTCTGGTGAAGTATTAAAAGACAATTGTTTTTCTTGTTGTTAATAAATTTAATTAACTAATGGCCTGGAGAAACCTGGGCTAGCTATTGGTAATACAGGAGATCCGTTTACACTGCTACTATTTATGATGTTTAAAAAAACGCAGTTCGGGCCATGAACCTAACAGATGTGTTGGACGGAAGATGCAGCTGCTATGCTTGCTTAACATAATAATACAACCAATTTAAGTAATCTTGAACTTATTTTTTAACTAGTTAGACCTATAAAACATATTTTAAATTATTAACTACCTATATATTTTATATAATATGAGTATTTTTATATTTTATATTTGTATTTATGTTAGTGTCCCCAATTAGTTATCTTTAGCTAAATACTCCGACACTCAAACAAAGTTTATGTGTGTATGCATGTATGTATGTATGTATGTATGTATGTATGTATGTATGTATGTATGTATGTATGTATGTATGTATGTATGTATGTATGTATGTATGGTCTAGCTGTTAAGCACCAACAAACGCCGCAGAAATTAATTTTTGTTATCATTTTTGCCAAATTTGTGGCTTTTCTAAATGTAAAATCATCATCACCCCAAACCTCGCGAAAACTGACAGAAAAAACAACCCAATCACTAACAACAAAAAAGTTACTATCATTATAATTTGTATCAGGAGTAGGTTTGAAGTTTTCGTATAGCACAACGTATGTGCTGTTGTTCAATTTTAACCCTGGCACAATTTGGTACTTTTCTTCTGGAGCATGGCAATATATTATAATGCAGTGGGAACAAAGGATCGAGAATACTAAATTGTATTAAGGTTAATATTTAACCACAACATAGTCACATGCAGCATGTAGGATATGCAACCTTTGAAAAGAAGCCTGATCTTCACCCCTGCTGGTTTAATCTACGTTTCTCAGGTCGCTTTTACATGTAATTTTGCAAAGTTGTCCTCCAAACGTAACTTATGTTAAAAGATTTCTGTTTAATAAAAAAACTGTTTATTTTGTGCCATGAATTGACAAAGCAATTCGCCGAAATTAATTCTAATGCGGTCCACAAGCGGTCCATATTGCAAAATTCGGACCGCTAAGACAGCCAATCAGAATTCTCCTTTTCATCCCGGATCAGTTCAGGCATATAATAAATAACAGAAGTGACTACTCTAGTGACTACTTAGGCCCGGTTCACACTTCGCCGGAGGAATTCGAAAACGGAGGTTTCACTCTTAAAACACATCAAATGTTTCCTGTCCACACTAGGCCGGAGGAATTTAAAAACACGAGCAACAATCATCGTTCATTTTAGATTTGTGTTTAAAGACTCTCGGGCATGCAAATCACATGATTATCGCGAGGTTATCGTTTTCAAAAAGCTACGTTTTCAAAATGTTTTCTGTCCACACGCAAACGAAAAGGCTCGGCGTCAGTTTCAAATTCGGTACGGTGGGCCTAACCGTAGAAATAAAGCTGTGTTTTCAAATTCCTCCGGCGTAGTTTAGACGAGGCCTTAAGGTGGTATGGTACCCTAAAATGGACCAAAAAAGTTTGGTTAAATATGGTGAAGAAAGATCAATTGTGTGCTATTGCACTCAAGAAGAGACATTAAATTTTGAGGGTTTTACTCAAAATGGTTGCTATATGGAAACCAGCCACAGCCTTTTGAGGTAGTGTTTTACAGTATTGACGCCAACACTTCTTGCTCTTTTACAAAACAAGATTTGACTGTCAAATAAGCATATCGTGTAAGTTTCTGTTTTGTTCTGTGCAATAAACCTAAGTTTTGACAGTTAACTCTTGTTTTTAGTGCTTTATACAAGCTTTATTTGGAAATAACCTTATTTTATACCACACCCAGTTGACAAATGATCTCATGTCACGTGACAGACGTTAAAATGTTACGGTTTTTTCGGTTTATATCATCACGACACTATTAGTCTTTGATGAGCCCAAGTTTCAGGTAATCTACTTAAAAACCTTGCAAAGTAGAAATGTTGGCGAGAAGTCAGTCGGTACAAAAGTAAACATTTGAGAAAAATGCACTTTAAGTTTCTTACACGTTATACTACAGGCTGAGAAATTTCTGAAATGTGATTGGCTAAGACCAGTAGTATTTAAGCCAAATTTGAAATACTTACATGTAAAAATTACAGCCAGTTTCCATGGTAACTGAAAAATTATT